GGGGGGCGGGGGGGGCGGTTACAATAACACTCGCAAGGAAATTAATAAAAACAGAATAAAGAGAAATATGAAAGGAAATAAAAATAGAATAAAGAAAAATAGAAAATGAATAATGCAAGAATTAATACAAATCCCTGCATTTAATACAAATCTCAACATAATTCTAATACTCCCTCTTAAGTTGAAGCACAGATGTCAGTCATGTTTAACTTGAATTTGAAGACATAAAACTGTTGTCGATGAAGATTATTAGTGAGAATGCCCGTTAGCTAGTCACTGGAGGACACAAAATAAATACAAATTTCCCCATATTTGAGTTTGTTCTTAATGAGGTGTCTGTCAATCTCCATATGTTTGGTACGATCATGCTGGACCAGGTTGTGAGTGATGTTGATGGCGACCTTCTTGTCATAGAACAATTGTAGAGGGACATAGGTCAACATACATAGTTTGCGGAGCATGATGCGTAACCAAAGAGCTCCACAGATCTCCAAGGACATGGACCGGAATTCAGCTTCAGCACTGCTCCGGGAAACTACCAATTGTTTTTTCCTTTTCCATACGAGATTTTCCCACACAAAAGAGCAGTACTTGGAGGTAGATTGTCGGTCATGAACAGCCTGAAAAGCAAATTTGAGTCCGGTGTGCCTTTTAAATAATAGAGAACCCGATGGACAACTTGAAAATGATACTCATAAGGGCCATGCATGAATTGACCAACAATACAAATTGTGTGGTATATGTCGGAGCGTGTATGAGCGAGATAGATGAGTTTCCAGAAAATACGTTAGTAGTGAGTCTTGTTCTTAGGAATAAAATTGGAAATATCAGTCAATTTTTCATTAGGATCCATCGGGACAACCACTAGTTTGCACAAAAGAAGCTTCCTCTTTTTTAACAGGTCAAGTACATATTTGCGCTGAGATAGGCAAATCCCCCGAGATGACCAAGTAACTTTCATGCCTAAGAAGTACCAGAAAAATTCCAAGTTCTTCATTTCAAAGGATGTAGCTTAAAGGTCTTTCAAACACTTCGATGCGGATAGATCATTACCAATAAGCACAATATCGTTGACATAAATTATAAGGACAACAATTTGACTATTGAATGAATGCTGGAAGAAGAGAGTGTGATCCAATTAAGCCCGAGTAAAACCATGACTCATTACCGCCTTTGTAAATTTGTCAAACTAGGTTGTGGGGATTGCTTTAGTCCATAGAGGGACTTTCGCAGCCGACACACTTGTCCTTAGGAGGCAGTAGATTCAAAGCCTCGAGAAATGGACATGTACACCTCCTCTATGAGATCTCCGTTTAGGAATACATTCTTATCATCAAATTGGAATAACAACCAATTCGGATTCATCGTGAGAGAGAATAGGACCCGAATGATGTTTAACTTAGCCACCAGAGCAAATGTTTCCTCATAGTCAACTTCGCAGGTCTGTGAATACCTTTTGGTGACCAACATGCTTTATTGAGTTCAAAGGATCCATTAAAGTTTAACTTGATGCTAAAAATTTATTGGCGTCTTACTGCTTTCTATTCCTGTGGAATATTTGCGATGTCCTACGTATGATTCTGTCGAAGGGCATTCATCTCTTCTATCACTGTAGCCTTCCAGACAAGACCTGCTAGTGTCGTCTCAACGCTAGGTGAGATTTGATGATCCATCAAGGCAATAGCAAAATGCCTTGTAGTTCAACAATAGACTGTGAAAAGAGACATATTTTACAATGTAATAAATGGAGCATGTCTGATTGCATGCCTTGCTTGGGGAACTCACCTCCTCATTTGCAGTGAGTTGTGTTGGGGATTTTGCCTGGGGTAGATTCAAGGTCCTGCAAGAAGGTAGCACACCCCAGAGTAGGTGCATTGGGACTAGTGCACCAAGTGTAGACATTAAGAGTGGGAGAAGGAGATGGTGGAACTACAGGAACCCGGTTTCCTCGGTGGCAGGAACAATTGGGGGAACATCCATAAGAGTAGGATAAAGAATTATGTCCAAGAAATCTAGCTCCCCCTCACTTGAGGCCAAGTTAAGAAAATAGGGAGCCCTAGCTCCCCCTCGCAACATGAGGATGAAATCTGTGATCAATATCTTATTTACAATCTTATTTGTCTTCTAAAAAATTTGGCCTGGAAGATCACATAGGACTCCCTCATTCGTTCATTTCTCACTCGTTTATTTTTAAAGGAGGCCAAAGCCCACAAAATATTGCTAGAATCAAGAATAAATTTTGGTACATCAAGCTCGTGTCTTCATACAATTATAGAATGAGAAACTGAGTATATCCGTGTCAATAGTTGATTAAAGAGGCAGAGATTTGATATCCAATAATGAGATACTACATTTGTTTGACACAAATAACATTAACTTGAACTTATACCTCTCAGGCACATTAAGTTCTTGCATGTAAGATTTGAAAGGCATCGTGTGGCTAGTTTGAAAACTTAAGTAATAACCAGGATTAACATGCAAGAACGTTTCAACCAAATGATACATCCAACAACTTCAACAGAAACAACTTTCAAAAATGAATTAAGATGACAATTCTTACCGATACATGAGCCTCTCAATGAAATCATCCTCTTTCATGTGGAGTAGAGCTGATCTAGTTTCATCACCCAATGCAGACCAGAAGTCTAGCAGTGTATCACATGAAAGCCTAGAAGAGTGCAAAGCACAAGTTTCTCTTCCTCCATGAACTCGTCCATAATTAGCCAACCCTTGACTTATCCAACCACGGCCTCCGCCGCCACATGCATCAGGATATAGCAATTCACGGTCATGCTCTCTTTGTCCAGCACTGCTAAATACCTGAAAAGAACAGGTATGAGTCAAATAAGTAGAGAAAGTTTAACCATGAAAGCGGCATACCCTTCACATTTGTGAATAAGATATAATACAGTTGAAATAGATGGAAGACGGGGATAGATGTCAGTTACGTAACAGTTATAATTTTGAAACATACAAGAATTTCAATGTATAACATGCTACTTTTAAACAAACAGTACTTTAATTTGTTATACATGACTAGAATGCTTTGAAATAGGATGTGAATGGATACAAACATTGGATCTTCCTAGCATCTTAGAGGAGATAATGCCTTCATTACAATAAGTAGCAGCAGCAGCAGTAAAAGCAACAACAACAACAAACCTTTCTCCCACTAAGTAGGGTTGGCTACATGAACCCTTTTTTCCATTGCGTCCTATTGAAAAAATCACGAGCAGCAAGCCTTCATTAAAGGAGCTTTCGTAGTATTTAAAAAGCATTTTTGTCATCAATCATCAATACATTTGGGGTGAACTGTATGAATCCCCTGTTACGCCGGTGCCTACGCTTAGCGCAATATTGTCTTTTGTATGCCTAAGGGCATATTAGTCTTTTATTATTATTATTATTATTGGGTATAAATAGACTTTATTATGTTTAGGATCATAATTATGCATGAGATTGTTGTTGTGAGTCTTAGGCTTATGATTTGAAGAGATTTCGTTCCTCTTGAATTGTAGGAAGTGGGTGAGATCCCTTATCTCTTAAATTGTAGATACTTATCTTCATGTATTCATGTGAGTTATTAGTGTTGAATTGCTTTGGTTTGATGTTTTGCTTTGGTTTGATGTTTTGGGAAAAAAAAAAAAATTGTGTTTGTCCTATCTTCTCAGGAAGAGCATGCCAATTTTGAGATCATACCGTATCAAATTGATATCAGAGCATTGCTTATAGCAAGTAAGTTTGTTAGGAGCGATCTTCGTTGATCCAGAGCTTGCATTGTCACATCAACGCAGGGAACACTGCTTGTAGGGGTAAGCAATTTTGCATTTCCACCTAGCGGGGAAGCAAACCACGGGATCAAGAAATCCATAGCATTTGATCCGACCTAATATCGCGATATAGATCCAGCCAAAAAGTAGATGACGATCGCGGGAAGGGATCACGTCATACAAAACACTTCATCCGAGCATATAGAGAAGCCAACGCAAGATCGTAGTGTACGCATGCCTTAAACTCCCAACCTTCTCCTCCTTCCGCTACGCCCTAGCGATATGAAGACGAGGAAGGGATCACAGCGTGCCTCCATATGATGTGATTCGATGAGGAGCTCGTGACTTACACTAACCCGAACTCCGATCTGGACTTGCTCTTCTCCTATTTCTGCTCCGTCTTCACAGCTAGCGGAGGAAGGCCAAGCTTGATTCACAATTTTTTGCAGTGCCAAACACTGAAATTCAATTCCAGTTTTTCAAATATTATTGACACAATTCAAACAATTAGAGGTGCGGATCTTACATATCAAACTGAAAATCAATCAACTAGATTTCAGCGTGCAAGTATTTTCGTCCTTTGTGTTTGAAAATTTTACTGGGAGTACTATCAATAATAAAGTAGATGATTTGAAAAAAAAATAGAGGAAGAGATGAATCAGCTTAAATTCGTAATGAAAGAAAGGTTTGAAGATAGATTTTTTTCCACATAAAAGCGAATGAAGGAATGTCTCAAAAGGTTTTATTCCATGGAGAATTTAATGGAGGATCGATTCGAGAGCCTTGAGGAGATGATAAAAAAGCGCATTGAGATGCAATCCAAGATTATGTCCATAGCCCAATTACAAACTCTAACCAATGGTTGATCGGAGAATTCGTGACCAAATCGAAATGGAAAGATATCAGAATATGAAGAAAACATTCAAAATCATGAACTTTCACCTAGGACTCAAATGGAGGGTGGATTAGAGGTTTCTAATGGAGGGGGTTGGGTCCAGACATGGAGAAGGGTTTATGCAAGGGGTTGGGAGGAGCATGAAGAAGAAATGAGAGAAACCGGAACGGGGTATAGCTATGATCGAAGGAGGAGGTTTCATCGAAGATACACAGGAGGGAACTTCAAAGGGAGAGGAAGTTTGGTTGGTGATACTAAGGTTAGGGAGTTAAAGATGATAATCTTCGAGGGGGAAGACGCATATGGGTGGGTATATCGAGCGATACTTCACGATGAATGGGTTAAATGAAAATGAAAAGCTCATGGTGGCAGGATTATACTTAAAGGGGAAGTCCCCAACATGATTTCAGTGCAGGGAAGCTTGATACCCAATCAGTTGATAGGAAGAATTTAAGGATTATTTGTTGGAACGTCTCCAAACAATTCAGACAGAAAACCTACACGAGTAATTCTATGCCTTAAATTAGGAGGGAATTGTCATATAATATAGAGAAAAATTCGAGCTATTATTGACACATACGAGGGAGATTTCTAAAGCAAGATTGGAAGGAAATTTTAAGAAGGACCTAAAGCCCAACATACAAGCAATACTCCAACTATGGAGACCGCGGTGTTTGGGGGAGACAATGAAGCTAGCCAAAATGATGGAGGACAAGAACCAGATGAAGAAGACCAATAGAAGCAACACAGATGTAGTGTCATATCAAAGTGATACAACTACAATGATAACAAAAGCTCAAATAGTGGAAATGAATAAGGAGGTTACACGACACAAGAATAATGAGTCAATACGAAGAGCGACACTCAAGCGCCTTACAGAGACAAAGATTCAAGAGAAGCAAGATAAGATGTTATGTTTTCAGTGTAATGGGAAGTTTAACCTAAGACATCGTTGCAAGGATCGAAAATTATAAGTTCTCATAGTGCATGAAGAGAAGATAGAAGATAAAGAAATAAAGACAGTTGTGATGGAGGAGAAAAACTCTCTTTTCTTTTCCCTTGAGGACAAGGTGTTTTTTAGGGGGGAGTCTTCTTATGCTAGTGCCTAGCCCAATAGCAATTTTGTCTTTTGTATGCCTAAGAGCAATTTTATCACTTATCATTATTATTATTATTGGGTATTTCCAATGATAAGATATTAGCAAACAAATATTAATAATGCTGGAAGAATGTTTTTCCAAATCGAATGGAATAAACTTATTTCTAATCCTATTGGAATATCAGAAAATAATATTAATTAAGCATGATCCAACACAAAACAAAAGATATTAAAACAACAATGATTTTTAAACACCAATCCTTCTTCATAAATGGTAAAGGGGCAATGTATTTTAAATTAAATTAGCATTAGTGCTTTCATATTTAGCATTACTGCTTTCATATTGAAGAAAAAAACTAAAAAGAAAATTTTGAAGAAAAATGACAGACTAGAGGGCAACAAAGGGCTTGCTATACTAATGAGTTGCAATAATAAAGCCAAAGCTTAAGATAGTGGGTGAGTGTTAACTTCTAATAATCTAACAGTTTCAAACAAAACGTAATGCAATACCCAAAACTCTCACATTTTATAACAATACTTTTGTTAGCATGAGAATTTTCCACATCAAAAATCACTCCTCTTCCAAATATAAAAATTTGAACATCAATCAAGCTTCAAACTGATGACGCACAAAAGGCAACACTCTTTACTTGTCTATGGCAATAGACTAAGAAAGTGACAAATAACTTGAATCACTGAAGCCAAGCATAACCTTCACTATAATGGTACTGTTTGAAGACTTCAGATCATTAAAGGACTACGGCATTTGAACCAATATACTAATAATTGGTCGCCCATTCAACCTTAAATATTAAGAATTTTGGTTGGTGTCAAACTTTAGCATTTCCACAAAATAATATATTTTCTCAAATTGACATGAAATCAAACCAAATGCATAAACGTGCCCAACAAAAAAAAAACAGAAGTGGAGCAACTAGATTTAAGTAGCAATTAGCTATGGTACTGCTTCATCAAGAACTATTAAGTCACGGTGTTGGAGTTCATACCATTAGAATATTTAAAAATAAATTCATGTAGATTGATTAGTGATCGACCTCACTTAGTTGCTAAAGTTTTTGAGCCAGTTATAGATATATATACTCTAATGTCAAGTCAACTTGGTCCTCCTTTAACCCTCAATCCCAGACATTTAGTATAAAATAAATGGTTGGTTTGACTCGTATGAAACACATAGCTCACAAAGCAGTGCTTCCACCATAGAGCAATAGGAAATTTTACACAAAATTTATATTTATAGGCATATTAGAGCAAGCTCTTTGGCATCCTTGTTGTATGGTGCATGACTTGATTAGTCAGAAAGTTGCGTTGAGGATAATTATACTTATTGTGATCATGTCTCGCCTGAAGAGATTTATTTAGGAGCAACAGCATATTGGATTTAATTTCACATCAAAATATTAAAAAAAAGAATGAAAGCAGACAACAGGTATGCTAGAGCCATAACATTTGACATTGTTGTTTTTTATGAAATGACTGGGATATGAATGCTGTTAGACACACATACAAATATCAATATGAAAATGCACAAATGAAGTCCTAATTACATGCAATCATACTAGGATTGCAGGATTTAAAATCTGAGCATGACCTTATTGCAAAAGATGCTCATCCTTCAGAAACTATTAATCAATATAGATGTAGACTTTTTACCTTTCCATAACAGACAAAGGTGAATGAATGGTGCCATTGAGGAAAGCAATGTGCAAGAGAAAGTAGTAATAACATACTTTGTGGATCACATCAGGTGAACTTGCACAAATATAGCAGTCGAGAAGAGTAAGCATTCCATCCTTTGTTGTGGCCAAGCCTCCCCATGGGTGCACGGAAGGGTCTTGAAAATTATCAGATTCATTGTCAGCAAGGACCTCAGCAGTTGTTTTTTGGGGAAAGCATCCACCAACAAACTCCAGTTGCAAGGACTTCCCATACATAAGAATTTGTGAATAACATTCCAGAAGCAACCCATGGCATCTGGAACAGTAAAGGTTCTTCCTTACTTGTTCACAAAATGTCTGCTTATCTATCCTCAGGAGCTCCCTGCGGGCTTGGGTTGGCAATTCACACCAAAACTGATTCCAGTAACATGTAAGGAAAAGAGTAGTTAGTTTATGTTTCATCTTTATGAACATGAATGCACACTTAATATGATCTTTGCTTGAACACATAAGCCCATAGAAGCTGATATCTCTAAAAAATATAACGCATTAAGAAAAGAAAGAACTTTCTAAAACCACTCTTGAAGTATGAAAAGGCCCCCATAATCATGATATTGCCCATAGCTATTTATTAAAGAGGAGAAATGAAGAAAATAATTTATTGAAGTCTTATATCGGTAGTAGTGCTATTTGCATAACAATCTTTTATGTAAAATCTATGAAAATTGTGGGAATCTGAATATCAGCTAGTTCTAGTTTAGCTTCCAGGTAGATATTGACCAATGTAGCCTATTGATGTAATTCAATTTATCTCAATGAGAAAGATAGCATCAAATTAAGCACCATTTATTATTTGTAAAATAATTAACATAATAATATAACAGTATTGTACAGTAAACCAAGCAGCCCAAAGACGCAGAAAACTTGAAAAGTAGCTTTGTCATCGACAATGATAATGCGAGCCAAATCGATGCATGAAATAGCTGAACAATGCTCACGTCCATTGACATAAAGAGTTGATGTGGTATTCAATTCAAATGCACGAGTGAAAATGTTCATAACAAAACTGCCAAATATTAACTTCGGCTGCATATCAAGAAAATTACATTGTCTCATCTCGCGAAGGTTAAACAAACAACCCAACAGCAAAACCAGATCCATCGAGTCGGCGATCAATACATAAAACAGAACCAAAACCACCAAATCAGAATCCACGTCAATCCAAATGGCAAATGCTAACACTAAAAATTACAGAACAATAAAAAAAACAAAGAATTTAATGTTGCAGATAAAAGAGGTGAAACCTTCCGCAGCAGATCGAAACTGACATCATCTCTCTGTCTGGACCATATAGTGTTAGTCCGAGCAAGCCGTCGCCGGAGCATGTCCAAATTGAACGCCTCTCTGCAATAATCCCGGCATCGCAACCCTCTCAACCACTCCACCTCTTCGATGCCTCCCTACAACTCCCCATCCACGGCGGAAAATCCAAGGCGGGTCAGCGCACCGTCGTGGAGATCCAGATCCTCAATCGGTAATCAGCGGACGAGAGTCGAATCAAGAGGGGCAGATACTTCCAGATTCTGATCGGAGAAAGCTTTCTAGGAATAATCGGATTGGATTCCGGCGGATTAGTTGATCGGATTCCGGCAAGCGCGGATTAGAAGGGGGGTTTCGTTGAGCAGATTTGCTTCTTCTTCGGCGGCTTTTTGCCTGCACACGGACAGAAGGGAGGATGTATAAGAAACCGCGGTTGCTATATCGCGAATGACCGAGTTGGCCCCGCCTTGCCTTTCTACTGGTTTTAACTGTTACTGTGAAAGTTTCCCGGAGGAAAAATTGCCATGAAATATTTTCATCATTTTACCTCTGCAATTTAAGTGAGGATCAAAGTGGCATATTATTATCATTATAATTATGTTGTTATTATACTAAAATAATGCAAATATTTTGGTATAATAATTATTTTTTAGTTATTTTGTTATATACATTGTGTAAATTAAAATAAAATTTTATTATATTTAAAGGGGTTATGTTTTCTATGATTGTATGAACATAAATGATAATATCATTTGCTTAGATTGTATGAAAGCAAATTTGGAAGAATTTAGAAAAAGAAGAAGAATATATATTAATATAAATAAAGGTATACTTAATGAGAATATAATATATAAGTAGAAAATAATAAGTTAGTGAGATTTGACTTTGTATGACTCGTCAAACCAAAATTGACAAAATATGCCCACTTTTTATGTTCTTGAAGAAATATAATTGAAACATTGTTTCTAACCAAGTTACCTCTATTTCTTTTGCAAATAGCAGTTGAGGCCCTTGTCACATAGTTGCATAACATTTTAATTGAAGAAGCTCCTATATTGTTTCTCTTCCCAAGACTTTCGATGTATCTAACGATTGTAGAGCACGTGTTGGTCTAAGGTAAAGTTTCACGGTGGAGATCTCTTTGTTTATCATTAATTCAAGATTATCGATGTTATACATTTGGGTATTTAGATTTAAATATTTTGTTCACAATATAATATTTAAGCAAATAACACCATTTACCATCACAATACCAAATATAACCTTATCAAAACCAAACTTGAAGCACCTTCACCCCATTTTTGAATCATCATCATGTCAAATTTGAAATATATTTGAATTAAGTTTGAATCATGATTAAACCACAATTGGAATATGATTAAATATTTCAAGCTTAAACCTTATTCAAAAAAGATTCTAATGATGTTCAAACATAGTTAATTTGCATAAGGTTTGAGTTTGGTTTTATGCTCTAGGAATGCTCTAGCAATGCTTGAGCAACGTTTCAAATACAACTTAAGCAATGTTTAAAGAAGATTCAACTATAGTTCATTAAGATTTGATAATAATAAAAAATGGCATTTGAAGATTGGTTTTGTAATCCCAATTAAAGGATGTTTTGATTTGATTATGGTCCATTTTATTTTTAATTAATCATGTTTTTTGATATTGACTCATTTAGTTATTCTGTTATGCATGCTAATCTTTTTAGGCATGACACAATTCATTTCAAATGTAAGGGTAAGGATATGAATAAAAAATAATTAGATATCTTGAGACTCATGATCTATTTAATAAGTTTGATTTACCCTTTTTTATTAAAATTTTCAAATGGCATAAACTCTAATTCTTTGAGACCTTAATTCATTAATTATTATTGAGTGATTGATGATAATGAGAATGAGGGTTACTCCATTGTGTCTAATAGTAAAGAAAAGAATAAAATAATTGATATTATTTAATTTGCAATGTTAATTAGGATAGAATTTGTAGGAGTTAGATAACAATGTGTGTAAACATAAACATATCAAGGTTTCAAATAAAGAAAGGGCATTCTAAGAGTGCATTGAGAAGGAAACTATCTAAATGATTGATTTAAATTTTTTGTAGAAAATATTCGTCTTATATATAATAACATAATAATATGTTTATTGAGTGATTAGACAAAAAAGAAACATTTTTGCATACTCATAATTGTTGCCAACATTTTTGGTGCAACTTATACTCTAGGAGCCCATATCTATAATCCCTTAACCATTTTAAAAATGCATGTAGAGATTGAGTTTGTTGTCATGATTTTGTGACTAACAGTTGATGACTCACCATGAATAGAGATCATGGCAAGGTATTATACACATGACAATATAGAGTGCCATGCCATGAAATCCCATTTGTTATAGTTAATAATGCCTCAACATTCAATCTTTAGTGTATCAACACTATGCCTAGAAAACCACAGTGCTTATCTTGTGATACATTGGCATTGTGATATGTATGGAAAGATATTTTTTGAGAGGCCTTAACACCTTAATGCTTAATTTTAAGTGTCTTACCCTTGCTCCTCCAGTACCTAAATGCTTACCTTACATTACCTCAACATTGTGCTCTATTTTTATAGAGCTATTTTCTTAATTTTGGATGTCACAACACTGATGCTTGATATTGAGACTTTCCGCCCTCTACTTGGAATACTTAGTCCTTCATGGGACTAGCCTTGTAATGCCCATGGCTATTACCTTAATGCCATATTTTAAACATGTTGAAAGCCAACACCTAGGTAATTTGGCGACATTATGTCCATTTTCAGAAATTTATTTAACGTATGCTCCTTCAAATGAGAATGTGAGTGCATGGGTAAGAGGAGGTTTGGTTCAATAGAAGAGAGATCTATTATGAGTTGGTTGGAGAGAAAAACATAATTGGTTGAGCAAATCATGGGGGGAGTAAAATGGATTTTCTCTGTGGTGCTAGCTAGGGGGGTGGTGGCTTAAGTAAAAGAGGTTTTCCTCTTATGTTAGTGAGGTTTTTTTCTTCTTGTTGGTTTATCCAACCCTCTAGAGGTTGCTAGAGTGAGTGGAGGTGCTTGAGTTTAAAGCTTCCACTTGTTAGAGTCTCTCACTCCCCCTCTTCAGCCTTGAATTTGCTACCTAACTCCTAGTTTCAACCCTAAAAATCATGGGAAATGAGGAAAGCGGAAGAAAGAAAGAGAGCATACATCTCTTTCCTCTTGGAGCCATCCACATTGAAGGGAATGCATACTAGCATTGCTTTTCTTTGTCGAGAGCATACTATGGTGGGGATATTAGTGAGTCACATACTAACCTCAACACTATTATAGTCATGAGTTTCTCGCATATCTTTAAAAATTTCCATCTTTATTAAGAGCCACATGGATGACTGTAGAGAGTTAGTTCTATGTTTATATGTGTAAAAAAAACTTAAAGTAGGAGTCATTTTTTGCCTAGTATATATCTTGTATGAAAAATCTTAAAACCTCGTGGTGCAATGCCACTGTAAAAGTGGCATCACGGTGTCATCCTCTTTGTCAACCTAATGCATCAACACCACACAATTATCGCTATGATACCATCATTTCCATTTAACTATTTTGGGTACAATCTAGTCCACCTACAGTTGATCAAGTTAAATTCATATTTTTGTAGGTGTGAGCTTAGGGAAGTTCATCCTTCATTTCCCAACCATCATACTTCATTATCGCAGTCTGATGGTCACAATATTGTTGGATCATATTTTGATCTATAACTACTACTAATAGTTTGGTGTGGTAACCTCACCACCTGACCCTTCACCCTAGTGATACGTATAATGTTATAACCGAAGTCTTATTATTAAGTATGTTCAGTTTATAAAATGATATTAAAACCTTTAAAAAAATCATTTTAGCTTATAAATATAATAAACTAGTTTAAAATTTAGCTAATGCATGTAGTGTGATAGATGTACACATTGGTACCAATGTACTTAGCGCCTTGGCACTGCCTAAACAACACTACAATGTTAGACACCTCAGTTCATATTTATGTTTGCATATGCCTTCTCATTCCATCATAGATATAATATGGGGATTTGAATAACTCAAATCACCTATCTCATTACATTTAGATTTTGGAGATACGCAGTTTTGACGTCGTATACACAACACCTTGGGGCGACATGATGTCAGCCAAATTTTTGCAAATTATCTTTTTTGGGTTTGATGTATTGTATTAGTAGTCGTCATATGGGAATTATGTCGGTTGCCTTTGAAAATAATTTAATTTAACATGTGTATATATGTTTGGTTTTGAAAAAAATATTTTGATTTTGAAAAAAATGAGATCTAATAAATCTCATATATTTAATAGTTTAAGTGACCGAGCACGACACCACAAACACACGTTTTCCCAAAAGAAAGACAATTACTTAGCAGTGAGATCAATTATAAAAACTAAACAGTTTATGACATCTATTTGGTCTGTGATTTTTTTATGTGACTGACAGGTTCCTCTACCTAATATTAAAGATTAGATAGGGTTTATATTACCCGGGTTCTTAATTCTCTGTATGAGAAAACTTCTATTGTTAATTACATCTAAATGACCAAAGTTACTTAATAAAACTCTCGATAATGATCAAAGGTTTTTTCTCCAATCATTCAAAGTTTAGTTTTCAAGTAAAATCAAGTGGGAATGGACCAAGTGAGAACAGTTATTTTTTAGGCTAAAGAAGCAAAAGACAAGGGATGTCACAAATTATAAGGGGAAACCTTGGTGAGTTCCAAAACTATCATATTATTTGGCTTTAAATTTTGGGAATGTAATTATTTGATTTTATTCCTACCGATTATTTAAAATTTAGGGCTTACACTTCACAATATCTAATTGTACAAATAGCCTATGAAGACAACAGGGTTTACGTCACACAGAATGAACTACCTAGGATTCCTAAAAAGTTAGGACTTATATTGTACAACATGATCGTGCAAAAGCCTAAAGATAGAGTGAGAATTTATGTCGCACTAGACGGACAATCTTGAAGTCATATGGATTTATGTTATTTGATACTA